AAAAAGCACAAAACCCTGATTTAATTAATTTTGAAGAAAATTCGATAGAAAATTTCTAAATATATGCTAGTATATGCACACTATATAGTATAATTGGTAAAATCCGGGTATAAAATTAATTGTTAGAGAACAAACTTTAATTTGATTAAAATTAGGTTAAAATTTCACGTAAAGTTTTTTTTATTAAAAACCAAAGCAGTTTTATTAAGTTATAATATATACCCGTGTTTCATACACTAGTGTACAAATAGAAACTCAATTTGATGATTTATCGTGATTATATTATAACATGCCTTTAAAATGTGTCTGCTGTAATACTATAGATTAATGTATAATTAGCAGAAGACCTCCAGCTACAAATTTAAAATTATAATGTGCTCTTAAAGAACAGCAAAAATATTTTATCAAACCTTATGGATAGATGCATCGTAGAATAACCGCAATTATTGCTAGTTTTGACATTTTAATTGAATTTTATAATTATACATTTACCGGTATAAGTTTATACAATGTGTTGGTCTTGTTTAAAACAATTGTCTATAATTAAACTGTTAGAAGTCATGATGACTTTTGGAAGCTATTGTATTTAATAGTTTAATGTGGCTGATTTAATGGGTATAAGATCATTTCCTCGAAAACTATTTTTCCAACATCTCATTTACTCGCCATCACAAAGGATGACAATTTAGTATCTATTAGTTGTAAGTTTATATGTAGGTCAGTGTTAGAGTGGTTGGCAAGCTGGCTAGGCGAGCTTTTTTTAGCTCTCCTTGCCAGCTTGCCAGCCACCCTAGTCAATGCACAGCAAAAAAGAGCTTCAAGACGAATTTTTTTATTGGTAGATATCAATATTTAATCAATTAAAATTTTAAATATTAAATAGAGGTAAAAAATATGCATAAAAAATTGTACCGGATTTTATGATACCAATGCGGCTAAAACATTTGCTGTGAATAAATCACATATTTAAAAATATGATCCGGTAAAAATCTCAACTTTGATTAAAATGTTTCTATTCTGCTGTGTACAGACCCATACTATTATTAAGTTGTTACCCTGTGTGATGCGGGAAATGAGATGTAACAATTTAATGTGGCTGTAGAGTTAGGCATTAAAGTAATTATGTGATGTGCCATTTTAGAAGGACGGATGAACTCTATAACAACAAATTTGCAATAAAGATTCAATTGAATTGACAAAACTTTATGCTCATGGTTGAACTGTCAGATCCAAGCTAGATTTAATAATGATCATTTTTCATAAAAACAATATTCGAAAGACAAGTGCATAAATCTAGGGTGACGCCCGTAAAATATCATGAAGGGCAAACAAATAATAGTCTTTCCCCCCTAAATTGCAATACTGTTACAATTTTTTTACTCTTTAATTACACTGCTTTGTCTATTCGATTATATTATTCCGGGCTTTTATTAGATTAAATAATAATAATAATTTCACAATTAAATATTTTACTTAAACAATTTCCTAAATATTCTATTCTACGAAGACATTGCATTAACAATTACATGATTGATTTATCTATTTAGATACGGGCATTGAAATCTCAATGTGCAAACTTGGGCTTCCACGGTTCGTGTGACGTTGGTTCACCACCATCAAGACGTTTTTGTGTAAATCGGGCGTTGTATTTCAATACATACTTTAAGGATTTAAATTGGGATGGACTAATGCTTAGCACATCTGGAGAAACAAACCAACGAACACCTTCGGTACATGGTGGTGTGGTTAAGCTACCGTAATAACTATAAACCTTTTGGAATTAAACAGAACATCATTAATAAAGTATCATGAAAATTTAAACAAAAATTCATCACTGGGCATAAATACATACAGTTTTAACCTCTTTAAATATTTGTTCAGTTAATGATATTGTTATATTAACATGTTCTTTGGGTTCTAACGGTTTCTATTTTAAATTTTGGTAAGTATTTTTGAGAAGAGAAAATATTCATACTGTAATTGTCATTAAGTTTTTACATACTTTATTGATTATCTCTATAATGGGCATATACTAGCATATATTTAGAAATTTTCTATCGAATTTTCTTCAAAATTAATTAAATCAGGGTTTTGTGCTTTTT